GAATGATGAGGCTGGAAGAGACCTCCAAGGTCATCAATCCAGCCCATGCCCTGACACCTCACCAGACTCCAGCACCGAGTGCCATGGCCAGTCTCTAAACACATCCAGAGATGGTGATTCCACCACCTCCCTGGGGAGACAATTCCAGCACTTTATTATTCTTTCGGTGAAAATTTTTCCCTAATCTCCAACCTCTGCTGTAGCTGAGGCTCTGTCCTCTGGCTCTGTCAGTGCTGCAGGTGGAAGACACCGACCCCACCTGTCTGCAACCTCCCTTCAGGAGCTGTGGAGAGCAATGAGGGCACCTCTGAGCCTCCTCTTCTCCAGCCTGAACAGCCCCAGCTCCTTCAGACGTTCCTCACAGGGCTGAACAGGCTGAACAACCCAGGTTGAACAGCCCAGGCTGAACAGCCCCAGCTCCTTCAGACGCTCCTCACAGGGTTTGTGCTCCCAGCCCCTCTCCAGCCTCGTTGCCTCCTCTGGATGCTCTCGAGCATCTCAATGTCCTTCCCAAACTGGGGGGCCAGAGCTGGACACAGCCCTCGAGGTGTGCCCTCACCAGCGCTGAGTACAGGGGAGGAATGACCTCCCTGCTCCGGCTGGCTGCACCACTCCTGATCCAGGCCAGGAGCCATTGGCCTTCCTGGCCACCAAAGCACATTGCTGGCTCTGTTCCTGTTCCTGGAGCAGAGCCCGACCCCCCGGCTGTCCCCTCCTGGCAGGAGCTGTGAGAGCCACAAGGGCCCTGAGCCTCCTTTGCTCCAGGCTGAGCCCCCTCAGCTCCTCAGGGATTCTCCAGCCCCCTCAGCTCCTCAGGGATTCTCCAGCCCCCTCAGCTCCTCAGGGATTCTCCAGCCCCCTCAGCTCCCTCAGGGATTCTCCAGCCCCTTCCCGGTTCCTCAGGGATTCTCCAGCCCCTTCCCGGCTCCTCAGGGATTCTCCAGCCCCCTCAGCTCCTCAGGGATTCTCCAGCCCCCTCCGCTGCCCCGTTCCCTCCCCAGCCCGGTCCCCGCTCCGTTCCCTCGCTCTGCCCGCTCCCGCTCCGCCTCTCCCGGCCCCGGGGCGGTCCCGCCCGTCGCTCGCATAAAGCGGCCGCGCTGCTGCCGGCTCCGTGCCCGCTCCGTGCCCGCTCCGTGCCCGCTGCTGCGGGACCCGCCGGCCCGGGATGAGCCCCTGGCAGCAGCGGCCGCCCAACGGCAGCGCGGCCGGGCCGGGCCCGCGGGGGAACGGCACGGGCCGGGCGGCGGAGCGCGGCGGCGCCGTGTCCGTGGCCATCCCGCTGACCATGATGCTGACGGGCGTGGCGGGCAATGCCCTGGCCATGGTGCTCGTGTCGCGCAGCTACCGCGCCAAGGGCAGCCGCAGGAAGCGCTCGTTCCTGCTGTGCATCGGCTCCCTGGCGCTCACCGACATGCTGGGCCAGCTGCTCACCAGCCCCGTCGTCATCTCCGTGTACCTGTCGGGCCGGCCCTGGGCGGCCATGGACCCCTCGGGCCGCCTGTGCGACTTCTTCGGCTTCAGCATGACGCTGTTCGGGCTGTGCCCGCTGCTGATCGCCAGCGCCATGGCGGTGGAGCGGGCGCTGGCCATCCGCGCCCCGCACTGGTACGCGAGCCACATGAGCCCGCGGGCCGCCCGGCGCGGGCTGGCGGCCATCTGGGCGGCCGGCGCCGCCTTCGCGCTGCTGCCGCTGGCCGGGCTGGGCCGCTACGCGCTGCAGTGGCCCGGCACCTGGTGCTTCATCAGCGCGGCCGGCGGCAGCGCCTTCGCCGCCGCCTTCGCCGCGCTGGGGCTGCTGTCGCTGGCGGTCACCGCCGCCGGGAACCTGGCCACCATCGGGGCGCTGCTGTCCCGCTGCCGCGCCCGGCCCGGCGCGCCGCGGCCCGGCTCCCGCTGGGGCCGCATCGCCACCGAGACGCTGCTGCAGCTGCTGGGCATCATGTGCGTGCTGGCCGCCTGCTGGGCTCCGCTGCTGGTAGGTGCGGCCCGCCGGGCTGCCCGCAGCCTCCGGGGCACAGAGCCGGCGGGGAGGCTGCGGGGCCACCGCTCCGGGGGCATCCGGGGACAGGGATGGGGACAGGGACGGGGACAGGGACAGGGACAGAGACAGGGATGGGGACAGGGACAGGGATGGGGACAGGGACAGGGATGGGGACAGGGACAGGGACAGAGACAGGGACGGGGACAGGGACGGGGACAGGGACGGGGACAGGGACAGGGACAGGGACAGGGACGGGGACGGGGACAGGGACAGGGACAGGGACAGGGACAGGGATGGGGACAGGGACAGGGACAGGGACAGGGACAGGGACAGGGACGGGGACAGAGACAGGGACGGGGACAGGGACAGGGAGAGGGATAGACACAGGGACAGGGACAGGGATAGACACAGGGACAGGGACGGGGACGGGGACAGGGACAGGGACAGGGACAGCGATGGGGACAGGGACAGGGACAGGGACAGGGACAGGGACGGGGACAGCGATGGGGATAGAGACAGAGACAGGGACAGGGACAGGGACAGGGACGGGGACAGGGACAGGGACAGGGAGAGGGATAGACACAGGGACAGGGACAGGGACAGGGACAGGGACAGGGACAGGGACAGGGACAGGGACAGGGACAGGAACGGGGACAGGGATAGACACAGAGACAGGGACAGGGACGGGGACGGGGACGGGGACAGGGACGGGGACAGGGACCCAGATAGGGACGGGGAGAGGGAGAGGGACAGGGACGGGGGACGGGGACAGGGAGAGGGAGAGGGACAGGGGCTGGGATGGGGACAGGGACGGGGACAAGGACGGGGACAGGGATAGCGATGGGGATAGAGACAGAGACAGGGACAGGGACAGGGAGAGGAACGGGGACGGGGACTGGGACAGGGATACAGGCAGGGACTGGGAGAGGGACAGGGACGGGGAGAGGGACAGGGACGGGGACAGGGATAGAGACAGAGACAGGGACAGGGACGAGGACGGGACAGGGATAGAGACAGGGACGGGGAGAGGGACAGGGACGGGGGATGGGGAGAGACAGGGATGGGGACAGGGACGGCGACAGGGATAGAGACAGAGACAGGGACGGGGGACAGGGACGGGGACACAGGGACAGGGGCTGGGATGGGGACAGGGGACAGGGGCAGAGGCAGGGACGGGGACAGGAATAGCGACAGCAGCAGCAACAGGGACAGGGAGAGGGACAGGGACGGGGACAGGGATAGAGGCAGGGGACAGGGACAGGGAGAGGACAGAGACAGAGATAGAGACAGGGATGGGGATGGGGACACAGGGACAGGAACAGGGACGGGGACACAGAGACAGGGACAGGGATGGGGACAGGGACAGGACAGGGATAGGCACAGGGACAGGGATAGAGACAGGGACAGGGATAGAGACAGGGACAGGGACAGAGATAGCGGTAGCGACAGCAGCGGCAACAGTGACAGAGACAGCCACAGAGACGTGGTGGCGACAGCAGCGATGGGAATGGGAACGGTCGGTGGTTCTGCCCACCCAGTGATTCAGGTAGTCCCAGTTCAGATATTCCCCGGTTCAGACATTCAGACAGTCCCCAGTTCAGATATTCAGATATTCCCCTATTCAGATATTCACATATTCCCCGGTTCTGCAGTCTTCAGGGTCCCTCTGAAAGCAATGAGGGATTTGTCTTTACAAACCAACTGTGGGGAGGTAAAACTAGCGCTGAGGTAAAAGCAGCAGTGGGATTTCACTGATTGATGAATGGAATGAGAGGGATTTGTGTTTACAGATCTACTGTGGGTCTGCTGATAAATAAAATTGGATATTGAGAGATGAAAGAAGTAGTGGGAAGAAGCATTGATTCTATAGGAATTCCACTGACTGACAAGGAAAAGGTGGGGGTATACATTAGAAGGGGGTCTGTATTGGGAAGTTTGTACCTCTCAAATACCTCAGCCAGTGGGGAAAGAGAGAGGGAAATGTGGCTGAGAAATTGGGATAAAAAGGAGGCTTCATCCTCTAACAACTTGAGAGACTCGATGGGAAATGCCCCATGGCCTCTCCCTTTATTGGAATAAAGTTCCAGGACTCCTCTGTCTCTTTTTTGGGCATAACCCTCAGGTGTGGGTTAGTTTTCCTGACACCTCCAACCCAAACCTTTCTGTGATCCTATTAAACTGTGTCGCTCCGATCCTCTGCAGTTTGGGGGCCAGTTTGCCCTTTTGCAGTACAGCAATTCTGGCACCTCCCATTCGGAGCTTAACAAATCTTTTGATAGGCGCTGTCACTCCTTCCCAAAAATCCCATTTCCCACAATTTTTTCCCAAAAATTGCCATTTCCCCCATTTTTTCCCCCAAACACCCAATGAAAAATATTACAACAGAAAGCAATCATGGCTAAATTTACAAATTGTTTATTTAAAAACCCTTGGAGCAGATATAAAGGAGCTCCTCCTGCTCAAACCCCATCCTACCCATCTGAAACCCCACAGCAATGCCCCATATTTACACTGTCAATGTGTACAACAAGCACCTTTGTGTACAGTCTGTACACAGCAGGGACGAACAGGTGAGACCACAAACACCCAGGTGAAATCAGTGAAGGGTGGGATATACACACTGAACATAAAGCAACGTTGGAGGAGACACCAAAAACTGCAGCTCCCACTGAGTGGGACTGGTGCTTCCTCCCTGAACACTGACTTCTTCACTGTGCTCAACAAAGGACTTGGGGAAGTTTTTATAAAAAGAGAACTTAAATAGTGCAAACTGGTTAAAACACGTCACCCTGTCACAGGCGTTTCTGTCTGACACAAACCCTGGGGTGGGGGTAGAAATTAGGGCTCTAGCTTACAACCCAGACACTCCACATCCAGGACAGTTTCAGCATCATGTGTGGGAACAGGGAACTTGGGTCACAGTCTCATCACCTGAAATTCCAGGAATTATTTAACTTCTGTTTCACATTCCCTTGTGATTCCTAGGTGGAATTCCAGTGAAATGCCCATCCCTCAGTAACCATGAGGCAAATTAGATACCCAAAACATACAAATTCATGAGGGTCTTTGCACATTTCTGCCATTTTAGCAGTGATTCAGGTAAATTCTCCTGTCAGAACTCCCAACAGGCAGAGGAATTTGGCAAGCTACGGAAAAGAACGAGCATCAGGTACTCTATAACCTTTCAGTCTGTAGCATTTTCAAAGGGATATAACAAAACAAGTCATAAAAATTTTCCAGATGCTGTCCGTGTTTGACATGGTTTGCTGGAAGAGTCTGACAACATCTGTGGAGGGTTTCCAGCACCAGAGTTTTCACATCCAGGTGCTCTTCGGCTTCTTGGGAGAAAAATAAAATAAAAATAAAGCTGTATTTCCTGATATGCAAAACTATCAAACACGAATAACGAGCAAAGCCCCCCCAAAACAAACTATGGGAACAGACCAGCAACACAGAAAAGACTTTAAGGCAACAAGAGGCATCAGTGCTGCAATGCTCCGTGTTCACATCCCAGTCCCGTTCAACCACGAGGAGTTTCTCTCCTCTGCCTCTCCCCTGCTTCTTCCTCATCCGTTAACTGTCAGACTCTTCCTCCTTCTCCTCATCCTCATCATCGTCCTTGGCGTTGGCCTCAGATTTATCTGAGGACTCGTGGAGCAGGACGTACTCCCTGCTGCTGAAGCCGAACTTGAGCACATCCTTCTCCTTCAGTTCGTAGTAGCGCTGGGGCTCGATGCGCTGGTTGTTGAGGAAGGTGCCGTTCCCCGAGCCCAGGTCGATGATGTAGGGCCTCACCCTGCGGCCCACGGTGCCATCAGCTCGGGTGTACTCCACCAGCCTGCAGGACAAAAGCACTGCCTGAGCCACCAGAGACACGGCAAGGGCGCTGAAAGCACGTGAGGCACAAACTGTGCTCCACGAGCAGTGGTTTGTGCAGTGAACACTCATCTGAACCAAGGAGAGCAACAAGAAACTGCGAGACAGCGGATTCTGAGAGAGGCTGCATCATCCCTAAAGCTCTGCTGCTGTAGCACAGAAGTTCCTGCATTGGGACAGATGTTCTCCAAGAGAGCACTGCTGGCAGCAGCACTCCTGTGTCACTGTCGAGGCAGGACAGGAATGAGAAGACTGGCTTAGAAGGCTGCTGAGAGTAAAACTCCGATTTATTCAAAATACCCTGCTCTTTTATAAAGAGCTTCGTGAGGACCAACTCCATTGGTCCTGAAGTGAAAACAACCCAAACTATTGGTGCAAAGTGCTTGACACACAGTGATAGAACTTAACTATAAACAATGTGAATAACAAGAGAGACAAAGAATTATTTACATTCTTGTCCAGCTCTTTCCCAGGCTTCTGCCCAGCTAGAAACTCTCAGTTTCTTTCTTTGACTGAATCTGAGACCCACACTCCTGTGCATCACAGCGAGCAAACAAACCAACATCTCCTTGAAATGCTCTCACAAACCTTGAAATGCTCTCACATCCGTGGGACTGATGCTAAAGCTGTTAGTGCTGGCAGCAGCACCCAGGAGCTGATGGCTCCATGCCCAGGGTGCTTCTCTGGGATTAAGAAACAGTTCCCATCCCACAGAGTTGGGGTAAAAAGCCCTGTTTTCTGTTTCCTGTGAATGCTCCCAGTCAATCACAGCTGCTGGGTGACTCCAGCCTGGATTCACACCCCACACTGTGTCTAACCCCCTGTGTGATTTCTCTGCTTGCTGCTAGCTGAATTTCAGATATATTTGGCCACTGCTGGGATGACCTGCAGCATAAATTCCACTTGACATGTGCCAACAGCAAACTGTCCCCTCCCAGCCACCCATTCCAAGGCACTTGCTTTGTGTGCTGCTTTCCTCCCTTGCTGGAATTTGAAATGCAGGGAGCTCTTACATGAACTAAACTCACTTTTCTTACTTACATTAAAAAAGACCTCACAAACTGCATTATGAAAACCAACTCAAAAACCATCTCAAACCCCTTCAGAACTCCTCCCAGGCTTTCACAGGTACTGGAAGACAGAACCCTTTTTAACCTAAGACTCTTGTAACTTTTTAACCCATACTGTAAAAACACAAACTAAACTCACTTTTCTTACTTAGGTAAAAAAACCCACAAACTGCATTATCAATTCAAAAACCACCTCAAACCCATTCAGAACTCCTGCCAGGCTCTCACAGGTACTGGAAGACGGTAACATTTTTAACCTAAGACTCTCATAACTTTTTAATCCTTTTAACCTAAGACTCTCATAACTTTTTAACCTTTTTAACCTAAGTCTTGTAACTTTTTAACGCATACTGTAAAAAACGTGAACTGAACTCACTTTTCTTATTTAGGTAAAAAAAAACCCCACCAACTGCATTATCAAAATCACCTGAAAAATCACCTCGAACCTGTTCGGAAGTTGTCGCAGGCTGTCACTGGTACTGGAAGACAGTAACCTCTTTAACCTAAGTCTTGTAACTTTTTAACCCTTTTAACCTAAGTACTGTAACTTTTTAACCCATACTGTAAAAACGCAAACAAAGCTCACTTTTCTTACTTACGTAAAAAAAACCCCATAAACTGCATTACCAACTCAAAAATTCCTGAAACCTGTTCAGAACTCCTGCCAGGCTCTCACAGGTACTGGAAGATGGTAACATTTTTAACCTAGGACTCTTGTAACTTTGCAACCCTTTTAACCTAAGACTCTTCTAACTTTTTAACCCATACCATAAAAAAACGTGAACTAAACTCACTTTTACCACTTATGTAAAAAAAACCCCACAAACTGCATTATCAAAACCAATTCAAAAACCACCTCAAATCCCTTCAGAACTCATCTGAGGTACTAGAAGACGGTAACATTTTTAACCTAAGACTCTTGTAACCTTTTAACACACTGTAAAAATGCAAACTAAACTCACTTTTCTTACTTAGGTAAAAAAACCTCCACAAACTGCATTATCAATTCAAAAACCACCTGGAACCCGTTTGGAAGCCCTGCCAGGCTCTCACCGGTACTGGAAGACGGCGTGCTGCTTGGAGCAGGAAGGGTGGTCGATGGGGATGTCGGCGATGCGGCGGTGCCGGCCCAGCAGGTAGGCGCTCTGCCTGTGGATGTACATCACGGGCAGGAACTCGTCGTTCTTGAAGGGGTACAGGCGCCAGCGCGTCTTGGGGATGCGCGCCTCGGGGGGCTCGCTGTACTTGATCACCACGCCCCGGAAGGTGTTGGTGTCCTCCAGCAGCGCCCCCGACAGCTCGAAGCTTGGCTTCTCCTTGTTGGCAGCGGGTTTTTCTTTGGGTTTGCTCTCTGCTTGCCAGGGCTCTGCGTTCTGCTCGCTGCTCTGCCGCTGCTCCCGCCGCCTCTCGTTGTGCAGCTCCCTCTCCGCCTGCTGCTCCCGCAGGCTCTGCGCCTCCCGCTCGTGGCCGCGCGCTCCCGGCCTCTCACCGGGGTTCTTCCTCCTGTCTGCGTGCTCCTTGTGCCGCTCCCCGCTCCTGTCCCGCTCCCGCCGGTGCTCCTGCTCCGCCGGGTGCCTCTGCTTCCGCTCCTCGGTGCCCCTGCGACAGTGATCGTCTCGCTCCTGAAGGGAGGATCACAGAGAGCAGCAGCTCAGCCTTTCGGAAAATCCCAGCGCCACGCGCTGGGAAAACACACACTGGGATGTACCGTGCAGCCCTGACACGACGTGGAACAGAGTTCCTTGCCAGCCTACTTGGGTTCCCACAACTGGCACTGAATAAAGCACCAGAAACAGCGAGTGTAGCCTGCTCTGGGGAGAGGACACAGCTCCCAGGGGTGCCTGTGCTGTGGCAGGAGCAGGGCTCCCATGGGAGCTCCACGGGCACGGCTCCGAGAGCAGCTACAGCCACGGGTGGCACAGCCTGAGCTGGGCAGCAGGAGCTCCGACTGGCCCAGATCCTCTCTCTGCTCATGGGACACGATGTAGGGCCCAGTCGGAATTGACACATGAAGAGGCGCCTACCGCACCCGCCGCGGCCGAGTCTCCCCACTCACCTGCTTTACCCTCACGGCGCCGTGGTGCGGGCTGTGGCTGCGGCTCCTCCTGCCTCGCGGGGAGCGGCTCCTCCTCCCGGACCTGCTCCTCCGCCGGGGCGACCTGGGGAACAACGGGAGGGGTTGAGCGGCGGGGCCGGGCCGAGCGCGGGGCCGAGCGGCTGGGCCTCCCTACCTGCTGCCGCGCCCTGCCGGGCCCCGCCGCTCCTCGCCCGGCGGCGACGCACTGCGCCGGGGGCTTCGCCGCTCGGCCTTCACCACCGCCGCCTCCCGGCGCCGCCGCCGCTCTCTCCGCCGCTCCTCCGCCGCCTCCATGGCGCCCGCCCGCACGGAAGTGCCGCCGCTTCCGCCCGCAGCGCTTCCGCCCGCGGGGCGGGGCCGCGCCTGCGCGGGGCGGGCGGCGCGGTCGCCATGGTGACGGGCCCGCGGCCGCCATGGTGACGGGCCCGCGGCCGCCATGGCGGCGCCGCCCGAGTCGCTGCTGCGGTACTGCCCGCCCGTGCTGGTGTCCCGCCGGGGAGACCGGGCCTCCGCGGCGGTGAGCGCCAGCGGGGGGCTCGCGGGGGGCCGAGGGTGCCGCGGCGCCCCGGCCGCCCTCACGGCGCTGCCCTCTCGTGTTCCCGCAGAGCCAGGCCCCGCGCGGCCCCGCCGGCCTCTCCTCCGCGCAGCAGCCGCAGGAGCTCCTGAACGCCATCCTGCCGCCGCGGTGAGCGGGGCCGGGCCGGGGCCGGCGGGGCCGCGGGGCGCCCGGCGGCCCCGGTAACGGCCGCTGCTTCTCTGGCAGGGAGTGGGAGGAGGCGCAGAAGCTGTGGGTGCAGGAGGTGTCCACCGCGCCCAGCACCCGCCGGGACGTGCTGCAGCTGCAGGAGCAGCTGGACCGGCAGCTGCAGCAGCGGCAGGCGCGGGAGACCGGGCTGTGCCCCGTGCGCAGGGAGCTCTACACGCAGTGCTTCGGTCAGTGCGCAGCCTGCACCTGGAAACAGCTCTCAATCCTCTCGGGTGTCCTCCTGGCTGCGCTTCAGCCAAGTTTGTTTAAAGTAACCTGGAGCCGTGTGTGTGTGTCACACACTGATGACACAGGAACCTCTGAGGGCTCCCCCATGACTGCAACAAGTCCATTACACGTTTTTGAGTGCTTGCTGTTGCAGCTTTAGGGGATAGCATCATTGGCATTGCCCGAAGAGCTGCACCACTGCTCTGCTTTTACCTGCTGCACTCAATGCTACAGCTGCAATGGAACTAAACAAATCAATTGTTACTGTCTCTAGGACATTCCATGTCCTAAATGTGGGCCCATTTACCCCAAAGGCCTGCATTTACCTCCCTAGGACCTTCTCTATTCCCTCAGAACC